AGTTCAGTGTCGCTTGGAGTCGCAGCCCCTCCTGGAATGTTCGCGGGGAGGAGAATGAAAAGATCCCTTCGCAGATTATTGGTGAGCATGGGCTTGCTGGCAAAGGCTCCGTCTTCGTAGGAAGCAGGTGTAGAGTCTCCAGTCGGATGCGGAGCTCTGGCGGAGGGATGCTGAGCATTTCTTGTAAACATGCGTACACATCATGATGGCGGCTGTGACGTTGGTGGCACAGGATTTTAAGAGCCTGGCACCCCTCCCCCCACATCCTTCTCCTACCCACGCCCCCCGTCACTGAGACAATAATTCTTCATATGTTTCTCCTGGACTGTGACTTAGCCGTTAGAGATTTGGGATTTGAATCAGTGCAGGGTAAGGGGGACATGGGCCTGTGTGCTGTGTGTGCAGCCGTGCACATGCACTGTGCTCTGGGGACAGCAGGCAGTCGGCCCCTTGGCTGGAATTCCCCAAAGGGCAGGTGCAGGGGCAGTTGTTACAGATGGACCAGGGCGGGTGGGGCCCTTGGAGCCCTGCGTGTGGGGGAAATCACTGGCCAGGTAAGGCCATGCTAAGCCTTTGCAGCTGCCGGGGGCCTCTTGGCTGCTTGGCTGGGTCGGTGTTAATGCTGTCTTTCCATTTCTGTCTTCTGCCCCAAATTCCTTCCCAGCCGAGCTCAGGCATGGGGGAGTTTGTCTTAGGATCAAGTGCTTCCCCATCTACTTAACAAATATCCATTATTATTTGTGAACCCTGATTTCATTGCTTCTAAATGCGTTTCAGAGCTGGGAGGAGGCCTAGCCTTGTAAATAAAATGTGGTTTTGCTGTAAAAGAAAATTAACTCTGTGTGTGTGTGTGTGTGTGTGTGTGTGCGCGTGTGTATGTGTGAATATATATTTGTCCACGAGCTTTAGGATTTCGTATTTCAGAACCCACCCCAATGTGGTATCTGACATTTGAACAAGTTGCCTTCTGCATCCATTCATTTTGCCTCTTAACGAGTCAAACATTTTAGCAATCCCTGTACTTTATTCGGCTCATAATAGCGAGAGCAGCAATATTTTTTCCGGAGCCGCCTGACACTTGGGGAGCTTTTCACGAAAGCAGAAATCATCTCAGAGGAAAGACCTCATCTTTGCCTTCTTTATTTAGGGCCTGAGTTTGCTGGACAAGACAGCCTGAGGGGCTGGTTTGTTGGGTCTGGGAATTTGAAAAAGCTGTTTTTGTTACGTGTCTTTTCTCCTTCCTGGTGTTTTCTTATCTCTGGGTGGCAATTTGGGCTCCTCTGGCTCTTCCAGCAGAGGCCTGGTTCTCCAAGCTGCATGGGGCTGGGGGGCCTCGGGTGCCCATGGGGCAGTGAAAGGAGGGTACCAGGAGACCAGATGCCCCTCACCTTGCCGTTCTCTGAGCTGGGCCAAGGGGCTCTTTCTCCTTTTATTTCTTCCCTCATCGATGCGGTTCTAAGAAGGGCCGCGCGCGCACACACACACACACACACACACACGCACGCGCGCGTGTGCACACACACCCCATACACCCAGCTCGGTATCCGCCTGCCAGCGGAAATGAAACCACAGCCCGTCTTTTGGGGGTGTCTCCGAAGGCCATGAGCATGAGCTTCCAGGCTCAGCAAGTTGTCTTGGTCTACCCGCCGTGACCCAGAACTTGACAGTTGAGGGGTTCATGCTGCTCTGCCGCCTGAACTTTTGGGGGGTGACGTTGCCACCTTCCTGGGATGTATGTCGCTTGGCAGATGAAGCCCAGAGCCCCGCACCCCCCCGCCCCCGGGGTGGGGGGGAGAGGAAACCCCATTCTTGGAGTAGGGTGAACACTGGCTGTCATCTTGAGTTTTACTTTCAGCGCCGATAGTAAGAGGGAAGATTTGTTTGTTTCTTTTGCTCCTGGGCTGCCTGGAAAGCAGCGAGCTGGGGTCGTGGGTCCTGGGGTCCTGGAGCCCCGGGGCATGGGGGACTTGGCTGCCAGGGGCCTGGAGGCCCGAATCCCAACAACGGCACAACGAACAGTTTGGGATACTTTTCAGATTCAGTGATGGGGGGTGGGTGGCTCACAGAGCCTGCTGCAGCAGAAAAGTGAAAAGGCAGAGAGAGCCAAATAAAGGAAAGAATACCAGATGTTACCAAAAAAAAAAAAAAAGAGAGAGAGAGAGAGAGAGAAAGTGCTGGTACCAAGTCCTCAGCAAAAGATGGAAGGCAGAGAGGCAGGACTGCTTGTGAACAGGCTCACAGTGACCTCTGCTAATTTTTCAAGTAGCCTGTGTTTCCTTTGAATGAGAAGGGACGGGTTGAAATTATGTAGCTTAAAACCTCCTAGCAGAGAGGAGGTATGCGGGTGCTTCCTAGAACTCCTCCCAGGAGAGCAGACAGGCCTGAGAAAGTTAATGAAAAGCAAAACAAAACAAGGACAAGAAAGATGAAATTATTAAGCGGCAGGAAGCACCTCCCCGTCCTCAGAAAGGATGGTCACGCTGGCAGCGTGGCCGGCCTTGGTGACGCAGCAGAGTGCCAGGCCTGCTGGCGAGTGGCCGCTCAGGCAGGGCCAGGTACTGCCGCCCTTCCCACCACAGAGCTTGCCCCTGCTCCATCTGAATCCTCTGTTTCATTTTGTCCTTTCTTTTTTTTTTTGCTTTTCAGCTCATTTCCTTTGTGCCTCTCTCCTTTTTTTTTTTTTTTAACAAAACAATATTTTGACATCCTCCTCCCGTGTATTAGAGTTCCCTCTCTAGAAATGGCGCACAATACATCCTTATATTTCTAAAGAACTGTTTTCACAGCCCTCTCCTTTGGCTCTGAAATTATGTATATGTAATTGGTAATTAAAGGTGCAAGCTTTTCAATATAAACAGTATTGCTCAATGTTAGATCATTAAAGGGAAAAGAAGCACCGAGTAATTACCTTTTCCATTCTGACAAACCGTTCGCAGGAATCCGGTCCCCCTACCACCACTGTTCGGCGTGAGGGTTGTGATTACATTTCAACCATACCAAAGCATCTTTTCATAAAATAAATTAGTAAATTAATTATGTGGCATTGTCTTCCAACTCCTTTTTAAGTAAACTCCTGATTTCTTTTTTAAAGTGTAATTAATGGTTCCTGGGTCTGGCTCGGTGAAAACTGCTTCTCTTACCTTATAGGTTTTTTTGTTTGTTTTTGTTTTTGTTTTGTTTTGTTTTGTTTTGTTTTTGCATGAGAGGTGTGCAGACAACAGGTTTAGGATTTCCTCATCTTTGGGATGTTTCTGTACTGCCATGGGTCTAATCCACGTCTGCATGTAACTCATGGAGGGCTCTGTCTACTTGTCTGTAACCACAGGCAGGATCTCAAATGTTAACTTCCCTTCCCAGCAACACCTATGCATCGACTGTATACACGTGGTTCCAACGCGTTACCTGTCATATACCGTCCGTTCTAGATTCAGCATCACACATGGCCTCTCACAGGCCCCAAATAAGCTGTGTTCAGAAAATACAGAACAGGGATTTATATGTAGGATGGAAGATGCCACAGAATTTTTTCCTTAAATTATCTGTTCTTTGGCTCTGGCCCGTCAATAACTTCACTGCCACGGAATGTGTTTTCCTCCCTTCCATCCCTTTTCTCTGTTCCTCTGTGGTTTTCATTATATCTTACTGAATACCACACAGCTCAAAATTTACCTGCCTCCTTGGGTTTCAGACCTCTGCCCCCCTCTTGGCTTTCTCAAGCACCCTGATGCTAGTGTGGTCTACATGAAGACCCCAAGGGGATATGTAACCTCACTGTCCACTCCTCTTATTTATGACACTTACGGCTGCCGAGTCCTCCTGCTTTCCCCTTGGGGCTTGCTGCTGCTTTTTTGAGGCATTGATCGGCTTCAAAATATTTGGGTCCCTTGTCCCCTACCAAAAAAAAAAAAAAAAAAAGGAACTATATCGGCTGCTCAAGAAATATGAAAATGTACAGTCCATTGAAAGTGAGGTTTGTCGTCTGCCAAGAAATGCTTTTGGAGCCTGAAAAGGTTTTTTTCCTTTCTTTTTCTGGAGTGAAAATAAAACCAAAAAGGACAGTGGGGAGCTGATGAGTGCTGGGGAATCTACAAGGTGATGGAAGTCCGACCAGGAGCAGTGTCTGGCGGCAGAGCCGGCTCCCTCGTTCGGGGACCAGACTCTCAGCGTCCCTTCCCCTGCCTTCTGTTCTTTTTTTTTTTTTTTTTTCTTCGATATTTCTCTTTGAACCAATGCTCACTTGTTGCTTTCTGAGCCTGTGGGCTTCTTTCTCTCCTAAGGACTGGCTGCCTGACACCCGTCTAGGGTTTTGCTTTCTTGTCTGGTGTGTGGCCAGGTCCAAGGTGGAGGAATGCGAGCAGGGCTCCCATGAATGGGGAGGACATGAATGAACCCTGGAAGGGAGGGGGTGGTGGATGGAGCCCAAGCAGGGTGAACCGGCTCTGGCTCTGGCTCACGGTTCTCAGCCTTGGCTGGCCACTGGAATCACCTGGGGAGTCTTAAAAACAAGAAGACAATGTGATGTTTGGATCTGGCTGTAATTAGTTTGGGGTGCTGCCTGGGTGGGGTGGGGGTGGGTGTTGTGGGGCAGGGGGCTTGGAGCTCCCCAGGTGATTCTCAGATGATGTAAAGTGGGAGAGACCTGTCTCTAGCTTGAAGTACAGGCCTGTGACACAGCCTTGTGTGAAAGCACGACGGGTGTCCTGTGCACATGTGTGTGTTTATGTGCTATGTTGGGGGGTGGGAATCAACAGCAGATAAGCTACAAAGGAGTAAGTTCAGCATCAGTTAAGCAGCCAATCTCCAGGGGCTATGCAGTTGCTCCTGGAGCCTCAGTTTACCCATCCATGGCCCCCAAGAGTCAGGCAGGGATGTGGTGACTGCACCTGCCCCCAGGCAGTGGAGGGCTCCTCCGTGGGGAAGGGTTGGGATGGCCGATGGGTGCCTGTGATTGCCTAAGCCCATCTCTGTCTTCTCTGCCCCCTTCTCCTTTCTCTCTTCAGCAGAGGCTGACCATGTGGAGGCCGCCATCCTTGAAGAAGATGAGGGTCTGGAGATAGAGGAGCCCAGCAGCCTGGGGCTGATGGTGGGTGGCCCCGACCCTGACCTGCTCACCTGTGGACAGTGTCAGATGAACTTCCCCCTGGGGGACATCCTGGTTTTTATAGAGCACAAGAAGAAGCAGTGTGGCGGCAGCCTGGGTGCTTGCTATGACAAAGGCCTGGACAAGGGCAGCCCGCCGCCCTCCTCGCGCTCCGAGCTCAGGAAAGTGTCCGAGCCGGTGGAGATCGGGATCCAGGTCACCCCTGACGAAGATGACCACCTGCTCTCACCCACGAAAGGCATCTGCCCCAAGCAGGAGAACATTGCAGGTATGGATTGTTGCACTGGCCAGGCCGCTGCCAAAGCCACCTCCTGGGTCCCACGCCCGCCTCCCCCTCTGGTTGTGCCGGGTGTTGGTGCTGGGAGGGGGCCCGGGGGTTACTGGGATAGGACCACCAGCCAGGGCTCGCCCTTTCCGAGGGGCCACTATCTGGGTGACCCTCAGGACGAGACAGGCCTGAGGCTCAGAGAGGCACAGCTGGCCGATGGTTGCTTTGCTTTTGGCAATGAGACTGTTGTGGGGCCTAATCCATAGGCGGCTGGGAGTACAGAACGGAAATTTGGAAGGCTAGTTGTCCTTCGGTTTGCTGGTATTCTTGGCTTAGTCTCTGGCTGTGCAGTCAGACAGTCTTGGGTTGGAATCTGTTCCTCACAACATGGACAAGTCAGTTTTTCCATCTGTGAAATGGAGCTAATGGGACCTATCTCCATAGGGTTGTGGTGAGGTCCAATGAGATGTGGCCTGTGGGCAGGACCTGGTGGGCCCTTAGGAATGGGGGCACTCATTTCCTCCTCTTCCTCTCTTTGGCCTCAGTCTCCCATCCGCAAAAAGAGGTGCCCTGGTCTCAGAGGCCCCTTCTGAGGTTGGCTGATCCGTCTGGTAGGTCTAGGGAAGGGCTTATGGGAGCTTATTGGAGCACTGCACCCCTTTCAGGAGGTTGACATTCCTTTTGGCATGCCCACTCAGCTGACCACCTGGATTGTGGACTTTTACCACCTGAAGAACTGATGTAGGGGTTGTGTCCTCCAACTGGGCCTGTTTGCTGCAGCGAGTTGGCGCCATGTCCCGCTGGGCCTCGGCTGTGGTGTGCCAGAGCCTCCACCAGGGAGCCCGTGCTCTGCGAGCCTCAGTGTTTGCTTCTTCTGGTCATACCTCTGAGCCTGGGAGGCCCAGCAGAAAAAGAGGGTCCTGACAACCTGTGTTCCTGCAGTAAGTGGCAGCCTGTCCTGCAGCAAGATGGCATCTGAGTGTGTGCAGATGAGGGTTCAGAACCTGACAGTTGACTTTGGACAAGCTGCTTCGTGGGTCTAGGCCTCAGTTTCCTTATCTGTCAACAGGGAGCGGGAATACTGGCAGGCCTGGTGTGAGGATTGAATGAGTAAGGGCTCCGTCAGTGCTTTGCCGGTGGAACCTTCCTTTCAGAGGTCCCCTTTGGTGCTGCAGTGTGCAAGTAGGTGCTGGCTATGTTGTGGGCACGGAAGCTAGTGGAGACGCTGGAGTGACTGAGGCTTTGGGTGCTCTTCCTTGGAGGGGGAGCCTGGTGTAGGCCAAGGTAGGATGGAGCAGAAGGCGCCATCGTCCAGAAGGCAGGCAGGATAACGCAGCAAGCCGCAGGCAACTTTGAGACCTTGGGCCTCAATTTGCCTACCTGTTAAAATGGGATTAATGAGATCTCTCTTGGGAAGAGACTATAGTGGGGATGCAGACTCCTGCTGGCACATGCTAGGTCCTGGGGAGACCCCATCAAATCACGAGGACCTGTGGGCCTTGCCATCTGGTGCATGAGCTAGGGGGACATCTCTCATGCTCTCAAGTTGCCAGTGGCTTTGAGAAGATTGTCTGACGTGTTCAGAGCCATGGTCATGTAAACCCCGGCTTCTCAGAATGTCCTGCAAATGTGGGTGACGCTGCTTTCATGAGGGCTGGAGCCTCTGGGCAAGAAAGGTGCAGAGTCCCTTTTGTTGGTGGGGTTGGGGGTCCCCCTGCCCTTTCTTCTCTTTGCCACTGGAGGAAACGTTTTTTTCTCCAGTAGAATAAACACCCGGCATCAGTGACCACAGACCTTGCCCATGAGACTCTGGTCCTTACTTATATTTCCATGGAAAGGCATTCTGCTTTCACCAAAAACCATCCGAATCCTCATTTCACGATGAAGGTATTTCCCAGCGAGAGGCCGCCGATCATTGTGGGTAGGTTTGTTTAAGAAAGCGACTAGATGTGATTTCATAAAAGGCAAAGTTAATCTGCAAGGCGGCTTTGTCCTCCCCGCCCCCCACCCCCCCGCACCCCTTTTCTTGGGCTATAATACTGCAGCAGCAGCCTACAGTATTTTTATTTTATGTGTGACGGAAGATATTCTTGGCCTTTTCTGTTCAGCAAACAGGACGAATGGATTTCTTCATTCTCGAAGAAATATGTAAAATAATCCCTTAGAAGTCTAAAGAGATATGTTTGTTCAAAGAATTTAAAATGTTATTTTAATCAAAGGCACCAAACAGTCTCCATGCTGTGTCAGCTGAAGACGACCATCCCATTCTAGCAGCACATCGTGCCTTCCCCTGCCAGTCCTCTTCCCCTTCTTCCCTTCGTGCGTTGGCACCAACTTTTCTTTCTTTCTTTCTATTTTTTTTATTTAATAAAAAGGAAAGATTAAAGAATAAAACTTCAGTGGCTCAAATGTATAAAGTAATTTAATATGGTGGGAGCATTAATTATTTTAGCTTAATTGAATTCTGAGGACTGCAGTACTTGCATTTTTGTAGACAAGCCCTGTTTATTATTTCTCTGCGTAGATTAACAGTAAAGGAAACGCAGATAACTTTCAGTTATTTATTGTAAAATAAATGTGTCAATTCATGTGTAAAGCAAGCTGCTCAAAGATAATTGAGTCTTTATATTTTAAGAGGGGGACTAGGAATCACAGGCGCTTCTCCGCCCGGGCTGCCGGAAATCCGCACAGCTGCTGCCCAGGCCCCTGGCACCGCTGGCCTCGCCCAGGCCTCTCCTGTTCCTGCTTCCCAGCCGTGGTGGGGAGGGATGCTCCGGCCTGCCCGAGCCCTGCTGTTGTCCCTGGGGTCGGCCGCTGGTGAGTGGGTGGCTGCTAACTCTTGGGACTTTGGCCTCTGGCCTGGCTGCCCCAAGGGAGGTACCTGTGGTGACCATGAGGGCCATGCCTTTCTGGGAAGCAGCAATCTGAGTGTTGTCCACACGGGTCCCAGCTCTCCTTCCACTAGGTGCATCTAGAGGCAGGGCTCCAGAGGTAGGAGGGCAAGGCCGGCCTGTGGGATAGGTGGGGGATCCCTTCCACCTTTAAGGGTACCCTGGGCGTGAGATCGGAGTTGGAATTGTGTAAGTCATTGCATCAGGGGCTGGACCCTGGATTAGCCCTTTTCCTGGGACTCCGGAGTCTGGAGATAGGCATAAAAGAGTAGTGACTGACTCCCTTCCTTCCTTCCTTCCTTCCTTCCTTCCTTCCTTCCTTCCTTCCTTCCTTCCTTCCTTCCTTCCTTTCCCTCCTTCCTTCCTCCCCTTTTCTTTCTTTCTTTCTTTCTTTCTTTCTTTCTTTCTTTCTTTCTTTCTTTCTTTCTTTCTTTCTTTCTTCTTTCTTTTTTCTTTCTAATGCTAGAAAAGTAGGAGAGTGGAAGGAGGAACTTTCTGGAGCTTTGTATCTTGGAGGGTATTCATTCATTCATTCTTTTTTTTTTTCATTTAATAAACAAGCACCTACTGCCCTTCCCCTGCCCTGAGCATCGCATCGTCATCCCCCGTTCCTGCCACCACAGGTGACAGGACCCTCTAGGGGTGGAGGGAAGTGTGGCGGGAAGAGAGCCATTTACGCTGCTGCTCTGTCCCCCTTGGGGATCGTGGCTAGAATGTGAGCAGGTGGCAGCCCCACCCTTGATGTGTGCGGTTGTGCCTTGGCTGTGAGCTGTGGGCAGGGAAAGGTCCTTGGATCCTGTGTCTGAGGCCCATCTGGGGACAGGGGTGGGGTTGAGTAGAGGTCGGGGCTCTGGCCTGGAGACCTGACTCACTCTGCCTGTATAGGAGTTCTTTATCTTTCCTAAACTCCCTTCTTACTGCATTCTTCGACTTTTGGCACTGCTGGAGGAGATGGGAGTAGCCAGCCCTGGGGTGGGGGTAGGGGGAAGCGAGATGGGTTTTGGGGTTTGCAGAGAGCAGGAGTCTCAGACCTGTGATGTGGGCTGGGTGTCTCAAAGAGGGATGGAGAGGAGGGGACTGTGCCATGGAGGCCAAGTGCTGCCGCGTGGGAAGGGACCCAGCACATGTCCTCACCCTACCCTGACACCTGCCAGCCTAGGCAGCAGTTTGCCCCGTAGGGGAGCACACCCAGCAGTAACGGTGGTGTTTCAGTGATGTGTCCCTGCCTGGCGTGTCAGATACCTGCTGCAGAGATGAGCACCTTCCCCCCTTACTGGCCGCTTCCCCAGCTCCATCATTTCCTGCTGGTAGCGTAGCTAATGTGGGTCTTCAGGAACTGGGGGAGAAACTTCCATTGGCTTCGGGGAACTCCACCATCAGAAACGTCAGAACAACTGTTGTGTGCCCCCTTCCCCCAGCCATCTTTGGCCACGTCCTTATACCATCCTGCAGTGGCCACTCTAATGGTGGGTCCCTCTGTGGAGGAACCTGGGGTGGGGTGGGTAAGGATCAAGGGAGCATGGGCTTCAGTGTCAGTTGGGAGAGGTGCGACTCCAGTGCCTGCCCAGGCCAGCCACTTCACTTTTCTAGGCCTCAGTTTCCTCATCTGTCCCCACCTGTCAGTCCTGTGCTGAGAATGGATGACAATGAAACACACAGAGCATCCACCTAGCCCAGGGTCTGGCTGCAGCCCAGTGACTGAGAGGTTGAAGCTTTCAGAAAAGCTTTCAAGAGCCTATGGACCCCGCTTGGCAGCATGAGGGAGGGGTTTGCTTCTCAGAGTCTTGAAAACTTAACCTCGGATTTCTCTCTCAGCCATTTCCTCCTTAGAATCCCCATGTTATAGCCACTGGAGGGAAGGCTCTTGATCACAGGTAATTCGTTTTTTGCATGTTATCACCCCTTCCATAACCAAATGAAGCTATAACTGGAGGAACGAGCCATCAGCTGTCAGTCATAGGTTTGCCTTTTGCCTTTTCTTCCTCCTCCCCCCATCAAACCCCAAATGTCAGATTTCTGGAGAAATGCAGGAGACAGGCAGCGGGTGACAGGAAATAGCAGATCCCCCTGGGCTGGAAGTGGCAGGCAGTTCCCTGCTGCCACGGCCCC